AATGATCTTAATATAATTAAATAACCCTTATTTAATCTAAGAATTTCACGTACATACTTCTGACACAGACTGGGAATCCATTACAGACTAATAGTTTGGCTCAATTTTTTTTCAGACCTACACTACATCTCAGATGTTTGTGTGTCTCTTTGTTTTAATTGCTTTTTTAATCTTAGAAAACATAAGGCCATGATGGAATTGTGATGGAGTGTGATGAGAAAACAATGAACATAATTTAAGCCTTCTGCAAACAAGCTAAAAATTAAATGAACTGCAGCTGTTATGGGGCTTTCCTATGACATTCCTGGTGGACACAGTTTCAGGGAGGGGAAGCAGGACAATTTGTTAGGATTGGATCTGCTCAACTTTCTGGCAATTGCTCAGCTGGGCTGTGCCCTATACAGTAATCATGGGATGGCCTTGGATGACACTAGAATGAAGCTGTTCATAGGCCTTGAAGGAGGTAGATCTCCTGGCTCTACGTTTTAGATCGGGATTTTCTGGCTCAAAGAGAAAGGGGGAAAGTGGGTGAAAGAGTGGCCCAAGAGGCATGTTGTGAGAATTGGAACATCTCTGTCCTAGTTTCTTCATCTGAAAAATAGAGTAAAGGTTTCTGTTTGGTGTTCCTGACTGACCTTGGGGGAGGGGGCTCCTTTCACTTTGGAAATTTTGTGTTTCCATGCCCAGCACCAGGAGGAACACCGAAGCGTTTGAGTAGCTCTGCTATCAAGGCTAATTTTAAATATTCTGAGACTGAGAGCCTCACCATCCCCAAATGTCCCCTACATATCAGGGTCTCCCAGACAAAAGGGATGAACATATTTTTGCTTAGGTCGAAAAACAAAGCTCCTCTTCAGAACCTGCTCACTGGTTAGTCTACCTTGAGCACCACATCTATTTCTTTATTTCTTTTTTGTTTTCAAATTTATTTATTTATGCATCAAGAGCTGGGGTATAGGCCAGAGGTGTGAGGGGTGAGAGGACTCACTAGAGAGCAGAATGAGAAGCAGAACAGGTGGATCTACTGAAATACACTGCTGAGGGGAGCAGTGGGCAGGTCAGTAGAGGTCTGCCACGCTTGGCAGTTGCTCTGGATAGCTTGATAGTGCTGTGCTTTAACCCGCTAAGCCACCAGGGAGACCCAGCACCACATCTATTCCAACACTTCCTACAGTTTCTTTCTTAGCCAGCTCCACTCTCATTCCCAACACCCTGGCAATTAGTCAAGAATTTTGGAAAACTTTACTCATCAAATATTTCTTCTCCCCCCGTTCCTTTTCTTCCTTTCTTTTTCTTGTTACTCCTTTCTTGACATCCCAACAACTGTGACTGCAGTTTCTGCCTTATTGGATAGCCTGAAATTGTCCAACTGATCTTGCTTTGATTTCAATCTACTTAAGTCATTGTGTCACCTAGTACCAGGGTGATTGTCCTAAAATGCAAATGTGCTTCTTTCACTCCTGAAGTCTTCAAGAATTCCATGACATTGTTAAAAAAGAAAATGACTGGCCCAAAATGGAGACACTTGTACCGAACCCGCCAAGCATAACACCTAGTCCAGCTGTAATTCTAAGCCCCCTGCAGTTTCAGCCTGCCATCTTACCGGCCAATACAGAATTTTCTGATCAGCATCGATGAGCTCATCTACTTTCTACTTCTTGAGGCAATCCGCCTCAAGACCTTTTTCCATTCTTCATGGGGAGTTCCCTAAGTCTGACATGATTCCTATCTTGTCTTCTCTCTGCCAAATAAAAATGTTTCATTTTGTGCAGTTTCTGGGAGTCCTTTTAACTGGCTAGATGGGCGCTGCTGTGATTCATTTGATAAAACCAACTAGATCTTAAAATTTAATTCAGTTGGATGTTTGGTATTTGACATGACAGGAAAAAACTCTAAGCTGCTAGCTTGGCTTGCAGCCTCTTCCAGCCTCTGGTTCTACAGCCTCAGGTGTTCGTATTTTGTGCTTCACCTGCCTAGGGCTTGGGTACGCCCAGGATTCTCCAGCTTCTGTGTGGCCTGTGAGCTTGTGATTTCTGCAGGGCGATGCCCTGTATCACCCCTCAGATCAGCTCTGCCTTATTACAGGAAGCCAGGTGAGCCAGGAGGGCCCCAACCTCTTCCCTCCTCCATCTGTTCCAGGTCAGGGGCCCCTCCTTCGTATTATCAAGCATCATATTCTCAAGAACTCCTCTTATCTCTGTTGTGATATTTGTTACTGTTCTGACATAGTCCCTACACATTTATCTCTCCAGTTAACTCCTTGATAGAGAGAGTGCTTAGTGAGAACCCACAATGTACTAAATTAGACTACACTGAGTTTTGATCTTTTATAACTTCCAATAACACCTAACTTTTCCCTGCATCAGGGTCTTTACATAATTTAGCTCTGTTTGGACGTTTCTCCCCATATTTTATTTCCTACACACTCATGCCAGAATTTCAAATTATTTATGAAGGTAATGAAACTAATGGTTAGCAGCCTGGTAGTTAATGTAACTAATGGTTAACATTACTGATGTCAAGGTGCCGGATTTCAAAATGCAAAATGGGTGACCTTAAACAGTTTCTTGCTTTGTGTATGCATACATGCCTCGTTCCTTATTTGTAAAATGGGGTTAGTAATCCTGGTAATGGGGGATTCACTTGTGGCACAGAGATTAAAGTCTTAGCTCTATCAAGCTATTGCCAGCCACTGCGGCATGAGTTCTATCCCCAGCCTGGGAGCTGGCCCATATGGCGCAGTAGAGTTCTCCTGCTTTGCCCACTGCTCCCCTCAGGAGTGTATTTCTGTAGATTTGAGTGTTCTGCTCCCCACTTTGTCTCTGGTGAAACCTCTCACCCCCCTGCACCTCTGGCCTAACCCCCAGTTCTTATATGACCAAATAAAAATAAACCTTTAAAAAAAATCTTGGTTATGAGGATTTAGTTAAATAAGACAATGTACGCTAGAAACTTGTGCCTAGCATATATTTACTACTCGCTATTATTATTTAATTATTGATTGTCTCTTCACTCTAAGCTCCAAGAAGTGAGGTTTCTGATGTTTTGATTACTGTTTTACCTCTGTGTCCAGCAAAGCATATAAGTACTAACTAAATTCATGTAACCAGAATTACTGAATAAATGGGAACTTTTCTTTTAGGGCACTAACCGAAGGCATGTAGGAAATTGTGATTAATTAAGGCCACAGTGGCTTTGTTTAACCAATAACTAATTTCCTAGCCCCATATATTCCCTTGGCTTATTTATTTAACAAAGTAACTCTTTTTTTTTCTTTAAATAAAGACAAGGGTGGAAGTTAGAGGGATGCAGTTACTGCTGAATTTTTATTAGAGGAGCATGTGATCTTGTTTACTTCATTCAGAACTGAGAGCATTATGTCTAGGATTGACTAGGAAATTGTTGGGATAAACATGCCCAGGTTAAGTTGACCTTGCTCTCTGAGAACAGGGGGAAATCTTAGTATAAGGAGGACAAATGACAAGTAGTATCAAAATAACAAGGTGATGTCAACAGCTATTCAAATAGGTTAACTCCAATAATGTCTCAAAAATATTTTTTTTTCTTTTTTTTTTTTTTTTTTTTTTTTAAAGATTTATTTATTTATTCATACAGAACTGGGGTACAGGCCAGAGATGCGGAGGGTGTGAGGCGTCACCAGAGACAGAGTGGGGAGCAGAACAGGCAGATCGACGAAGTACACTGCTGAGGGGAGCAGCGGGCGGGCCAGGAGAGGTCTGCCACGCCATGTGGATCTCCTCCGGGGCGGGCGGGGATCGAACTCATGTGGAAGTGGCTTAAACTTCTTAGTGCAGTGCTTTAACCCACTGCGCCACCAGGGAGGGCCTCTTTTCTTTTTTAAAGGCTTATTTATTTATGCATATAAAACTGAAGTGCAGGAGCAGTGAGAGGCTTCACCTGAGACAGAGCTGGGAACAGAACACGCAGATTGATGAAGTACACTGCTGATGGGAGCAGTGGGCAGGTCAGGAGAGGTCTGCTGAAGCATGTGGGTCAGCTCCCTGGCCCAGGTGAAGTGGCTGCCTGTGAGCTAAATGATACTACGCTTTAACCCACTGCACCACCAGGGAGGGCCCATCGAAAGTATTTTCAATGGAAACCTAAGCTTCTTCCAGTACTAGTCATCTTTTGAAATTAGACTAATATAGTAGTATAGACAGAAAAGAATGAATTTTCACCTTTTCATAGGGAATAGTATACAGCTCTGAAAAGAGGAAATTCTAGAGTTAGCTTCCCTAAGTTATAGACCTTTTAGGAATCTAGATTGAGGAAAAGTATAGTGGTTGAATGCTGCAGGGCAGAAAGATAGTAACAGTGTGCTACTCAGCGCTCACTGTTGAATAATGCTGGCTGGGTGGTGGCAGTTCTGCTTAGAATGCCAAAAGCATATGATATGGATGATCCCAGTGGTCCTACCAACTGGAACACTGAAGGCCCTGGGCCAGCTCTGTGTTTTCCGACTCCAGAATCAGCCTCAATTCTTTTGCAGGCCCATTACCTATGTGATGGACATTTCCATACGCCTCTTGTTCTTGTTCCTCTGCATCACATGCTGCCTGTGATATTATGCAATCTCAGAGTCCGGAAGTCACGACGGTGCAAAACTTCAGCACAGGCAAGTGGTAGTGGTTTCAGAGGAGGAATGGCTTGGGGTCTGGCCCACTAAACCAGGAAATCAAACTGCTGAGGTAGGTGCCTTCCCTTCTTAGGAGACACTAAAGTGCATATTTGAGCAAATGACAGATGGCTATCTAGTTGTTCTTATTTGCCTGAAGAACATAGGATCTCTTATCCTCACAAGCTAAATAGCTTTTCTTCTGTTTAGTTTTGTATCGAGAGTCTTTAACTGTAATCCAGATGAGAAAGCAATTCTGGCCCTTTACAACCCAGGGAGAAAGACGGGTGCCCTGCAAAAACGCCAACAGAGGAAGTTGCGGCAGCTTGGTAGGGCGGGCATCTAGCCAGGTATATTTACTTACCACTTTTTGGTTCCCTTCATTGTCAGTGAGCAGCCATTCAATATCCAGGGTGTCTTTTTCTGGGAGTCCCAGCTGGTGGTGACAAGGCAGAGTGACCTTTTCCTCTGCCACTCTCTTGATCTCAGTGTGAGTTCCCAAGGTCTCAATATAGAAGGAAGCTGGAAGAGGAAAACCACTAATGAATTAGGCAGAAATTGGATGACAATATATGGGAACAAGTGTTACAACCCATAATTATGGGATGTTCCTTTGGGTAGTAGGGAAGTCACAGTATTTGACAACTCATGGACCAGAGTACTTGAAGACTCAGGACTTTACCTAAATTCATCATTTCTACCTTCCTGGACCCCCTGTGAATTATTCTCCTAGTAAGGCTTTCTTCCCTACTTTAGTGGGTTTTCATGAACAATGAAATCACTCAGGTTAACAACTGTGTCATTCGATCTTTCGCTCCTCTATGGTTAGAGGCTTGCAGAAGGACAGAAACCAAAAGGGAAGGCAGGATTGGCAGTTGCCCCAGAACAGGCTCCAGAACGCAGCTCATTCCTCAGAGCCTTCTCAGAGACAAGCTATCAGCATCAGGTCTCTAAGTGAGCCCAGGAACACCTCACAAATAAGTGGCTTTCACAGGTAGCTCCTGCCTCTCCCAGGGAAATGCAGCACTTTTATCGCCTCAACTCCTGTCGGTACAGTCTCTGTTACTTCCTAGTCTATGGCTTAGCATTATGAAGTGACTCTTTCTATCCAAAGTGACATTCCAAGATACCAGGTTTAGTCCTTGCTCCATCCATCCAGTATCTCTTTGTCTCGTAGGGGTTCATTTCCACTTCAGGCCTTCTTTACTCCTTATTTTTACCTTTTTTTTTTTTCCAGAAAGGTATTCATCAGCATCTTTGCTTTCTATTTTTAAGATTTTATTTATTTATACATACAAGAACTGAGGTACAGGCCAGAGGTGCAGGGGGTTAGAGGATTCACCAGAAACAGAGCGGGGAATGAACAGGTGGATTGCCTGAAGTCCAATGCTGAGGGGAGCAGCCGACGGGACAGGAGAGATCTGACCCACTATGTGGTCACCTCCCTGGCTGGGAATCAACTCATGCTGCAGTGGCTGCTAGTAGCATCACAGTGCTGTGCTTTAACACTTTGTGCCACCAGGGAGGTCCCTCATCAGCAACTTTGGGCTTCATGCTCACTTTTGTTCACTTCAGTGTCTTGCTTTAGCAGTTGGCCTAGTCTCTGATACCAGTGACTATTAAAGCTACAGAACTAATGACTGATAACTGATAACGATGAAACCTTACTTGAATCCTAGATATGACTTGTCTGGCTTTTAAAATGTGCATTAACTATGGCGCCCTCCTTTATCTCCTCACACAGTAACAAAGAAGCTCAGTGTGAAAAATGATCTCTTTCAAGCCATTCACAAAGCAACAGAATCATACAGCTTCAAAGCTGGAACAGCCCTAGGGCTATGAGAAACCTTGGGTAGAGAGAACCCACTGCCACTGCAAAGGGCTTTAAGTGCGAAAGACCAACGATCATGACTGATCGACACATATAAGCAACCTCTCTCATTCCCTGCTCAGTTCTCAAAGTTGATTAGTGGCAAATCCATGCGAAGGAAAAGGGCCTATATTCTTGGCTGTGGAAAGACGAAACTAGGTAGAACAGGAGAGTGGTTCTCTTTATGGGGTGGGAGAGTTGGGGTGTGGGGCTCACTGGGCTGAAACTAGAGTGGCAGAGCCCTGGAGGCATGCACCTTAAGTAGCAGGTGACTTGTTAAAAGAAAGGAGACCTTAGAAATCTGCCTGGTGTGAGAATAATATGATGATCCCATGTAGGGTCTTACTGACGTTCTCAAGGTTTCTGTTATTTTTGTTCATAACTTGAAACTGCACTGGTGATGGCTGCCGTTTGATTGAACACTCTCTGGTGTGACCACAACTGAGCACTGAACCCTATGAAAACAGGATTATTATCCAAATGTCCCAATGAACTGTAAAGAGCAAGCTGCTCAAGAGCACAGTTAGGAAGTTACAGGGCAAGGCCCTGGCCCCAGATCTGGCTCACTGCAAAGCTCATGCTCTGGGCCCTCCCTGGTGGCGCAAGGGGTTAAAGCACAGTACTGTAAAGCTGTCTGCAGCATAAGTTCCAGCCCCAGCCAGGGAACGAACCCACATGGCATAGCAGACCTCTCTTGTCTCATCCGATGCTCCCCTCAGCAGTGTGTTTCAGTGAATCTGGCTGTCAGCTCCCCACTCTGTCTTTGGTGAATCCTTCAGCCCTGGCACCTCTGGCCAGTAGCAGGTTCTTGTATGCATAAATAAATCCATTAAAAAAAAAAAAAAAGCTCATGCTCTGACAGTTAGGGCCTCTGTCCGCCTCTAAGGTCTTTAAGCTTAAGTGTTTCACCCCTGCATTCTGATAGACTCAGCACAGGGTCCCACCTATTGAGTGTCTTGGTAAATATTTAGTGAATTGATTTGAATCTAATCCATGCACTCATTTTACCAATGAGTATACTTAGGCACAGGGATAAAGAGCCAGTGCAAGTTCCTACACTGCATTTAGTGGCAGACATAGCCTATGTATAACCTGTTCTCCTTTAGTCCCCAAGCAGACACTTGCCAGCTTGTACCAATGGGCTCCGGCTTCTCCCACCCCCCACCCCCGCCCCGGGGCGCTTTCCATAGGACACACCAGTGCGCAAATGAAACCAGTGCGCACACCCCAAGCCAGCTAAAGAGCTCATCCCCCAGGTGGTGCATTCAGTAGACAAGCCATGCTGAATAAGTAAATGCAAAGAAGCACTTAGGAGATTTGCCGATTTAAGCCACTAGAGGGAATCAAAGACTCAGATTTGGTTGATGTCCCAAAAGGAAAGGAACAGTCGTGGGTGGTGTGCTGTGCCAGAGGGCCAAGTTCTATTTATACGCCATCCAGAATTAAATACAGCAATGCAGGGAGGGGGCCCCTCAGTGACTTCAACCAATTTGCCAAGGCAGGGAGGCTCAAGATCAGAGCACAGGCACCTCTAGTCTTCCCTGAACCTCAGCTCCCATACATTTAGGAGCTCATCGGTATTCCTGCAGATTTCTCAGGCCCCTTCTCTGTGTGTTTTAACTTATGCCCCATTTCTATTGCTTAAGCGAATAGGAAACTAGGTTCTGCTTAAACTTCCAAGCTTGCTAATGCCAGTGGGGGTAGCCAAGCACACAGCTGCCCCCTGGTGGGTGAGAGGCATAGAGGAAATTCTGCAGAATGTGTGAGAGTGTGCAGGTAGCCACCTTCCAGCCAGTTTGGGTACACAGTACACAGCGTAGGTGCAAGAGAAAAGAACATGAGCTTGGGAATCAAATAGACCGGATTTAAGTCATGGCCAGAGACCAATTTATTCTCTGATGGCTCTGTTTTTTGTTTTCTATGGAAAATGAGAATAAAATCATCCACCAGGAAAGACTATTGTAAGGCATATGATATACAGTGCACACTCAATTAGTGATCTTTTTTTTTAAGATTTATTTATTTATTTGTACAGAACTGGGGTACAGGCCAGAGATGCGGAGGGTGAGAGGATTCACCAGAGACAGAGTGGGGTACAGAACAGGCAGATCTACGGAAGTACACTGCTGAGGGGAGCAGCGGGTGGGCCAGGAGAGGTCTGCCATTCCATGTGGTCACCTCCAGGGCAGGCGGGAATCGAACTCATGCGGAAGTGGCTTTAGCTTCTCAGTGCTGTGCTTTAACCCGCTGTGCCACCAGGGAGGGCCCTAATGATAATTTTTTTAGGAGATATATTTATTTATTTATGCATAGATATATTTATTTATTTATTCATAGAAGTACTGGGGTATAGACCAGAGGTGCAAGGGTGTGAGAGGATTCACCAGAGACAGAGTACAAGACAGAGCAGCGGGCAAGACAGGAGAGGTCTGCTGCTCCACATGAGTATTCTCAGGGGCTGGGATTCGAATTCGCATTGAAGTGGCTAGGGGCTGAGGCCAGCTTGCAGTGAGTGCAGCACTCTAACCCTTTGCGCCACCAGGGAGGGCCCACACCTGTTATATTTTAAAAGAGAAAGAAAAACATGCAGAGAAAGGGGAGCAGGATTGTGAGGCATTTGGAAGACATTTTGTTTAACAACTTAATATTTGCCCATATTTGCTTTATTTCTCTTTTTGCTGTACTAGTTGAAAGTAAACTGTAAATAGCATGACAGTACCTCTACATGTCTCGACAAACACCTACTAAAATTAAGAATGTTTTTCTACATAGCCTCATTATTATGGCTAAGAAAATTCATAAATTGCATGGAAGATCATTTCTGACAAGTGCTTCTAAGGAAGACTTGAAAGGGTAAGTAGGATTGAACCAGTTCTGGAAACAGGCTGCTTCCACTGCACAGACTGTAGTATTCTTTATATAAAGAAAAGTATTTCTGGGGAAGGGAGCAGCCTGAACAAATGACAGCTCTGTCTACTCTGCCAGCTCCCTCAAGCAACTGGGAATCAGAGAAGTTTGTCTATGCTTTGCTTTTTTCACCCCACACCCAGAATAACCCCAGAATCTTTCCAGCCAGTTCCATCAATGAGGCTTTCCCAAAAGGAAAACCACATTCACCACAAGCTGCTAAGTAACCAACATATCTTTATTGTTTCTTAACTACAAACACACACTTGATATTTAGGGAAAGTCTAAAGCTAAGGGAGTGAAACTTTTGGGTTATCAGTGGAACTGCAGACTTCTGCGAGTGAGTGTAGTTACTGCCTTCTTGGAGGTGAATATTTGGTCCTGGAGTCCCTCAAATGAATGAAGTGAGTGGATGGGAAGGCAAAGATTGAGCTTCTTCTGCCTTCCCATTTTGGGGGTTGGCTTAGAGAAGAAAGGTGGAAGGGAGAGGAAGGAAGGTAGGGGAGAAGGAAGATGAAGTGGTGGAGAAGGCCTAGCATCAGAGAGTAGGAACAGCGCTGGAGGGAGGGGGAGTGGAGGAGGAAGGGGAAGCTTAGCACTGCTAGAAGTTGTTTTGCTTTTTCTTAAAGATTTATTTATTTACTCATACAGGAACTGGGGTAGAGGCCAGAGGTGTGAGGGGGCAAGAGGATCCATCAGAGACAGAGTGGGTAGCAGTGGGCAGGTCAGGAGAGGTCTGCTGTGCCAAGTGGTCACCTCCCT